ATCAATTATATATCACTCTAAAAATATATCGTCATGTTCAATTATTGCTTCTATTCAAAAGCTATTTATGATTAATATGTCATGTTAGACTTGTTGATCAGTGAGTAACTATATATACGACAATATTTTGATTCAAAATATATTATTATTTTCTTTGTAAATAAAACTAGTTGAAGGTTTTTTGTATTTGAATAATTACAAACAAGTCTTAACATATCAAATCCAATGAAGTTTCATAATTATTTAAATACTCCAAACTTTAAGATTTCAGCTAGTTAGAATTAAATATAATCATGTATGATAAATGTCAACTGAAAATAATACTTTGTTTAAATTTCCTAAAGTTGATTACTTTTTTATTATTGATAAACGAATTATTTATATACATCTGCTTTATAAAATGGTGATTAATTAACCGTACAAACTGCAAAAATTATTTTCAAACTAATAGGACAAGATATATAGAATGAAATAAATAAAAATATATAATTTGTTTGCTTATCAAAAGGTTATCAGTACTACATAAGACAAATTTCAAAGTGATGAATAGACATGAACTAAGATGAAAGAAATTTCAACTAAAATATCTATAATGAGTCATCATATAGTGCTATTAGATTATTTTAAACAACTATCTCTCATATATTCTTATTAATCATGAATAAATAAATAAGCATTTCACAAATATAACTAGAAGGTATTCGAGTTGTACTCGACTACGAAATGCGATGCGAATAGCAGAATTTCGAAATAACGATTTTAAGATGTTCACAAAATTATCTAGGTGATTCATTATCTATTATCAGCTGCACTGTCAGCTGTAAAACAGGTGCTAGAGAAAAATGGCGCCTAACTTTTGCTTTTGTTTTTCGTTTTAATTATCTCGAAATTTACAAAAGTCAAAGTCGTATTTTTGTGACGCTTCCTGTAAACGAACTAAACGTCCTCTTGAAAATCGAAAAACGTGTGAAATCAGTTTAATGTTGAAATGTTAATCTCACGTTTAAACGACTATTTTCTGATGTTCCATTGCTGAGATCATCCCATAAGAAAAATGACCATTTTGAATGTAAACGTCGAGACAGGAAGAAAGAAAGAAAAAAAAAAAGAAAACTCGCGGAGGACTACATAAATGCAACTGAATAAATTTATTTCGAAAATAATTCTAAAAGATTAAAGCGAAAAAGTTAAAGATTTGTTTAGGTCTTTGCTGTAGTTATAGCACAGTATTAATCTAAAATATAAGTATAAAGTAAACAAAATATTTTTTTAATCTATCATACTACTGCTTGAGAGCAACTCTTACATAAAATACAATAATTCAAATAATAATTCTATTCTAGTTTTTTTGCCGCAGTGATATAATAATCCTATCTTAATTTAAATTTATAATCGAATTCAATTTTTTTCTCTTTATTCTATTTTATTTATAGAGAAACTCAAACCGGAAAACTACAATTACATAAAAAAAAAAATTCTACCGTGATAGAAAAATCAATTGTAGATTATATTTATAATTAAAATAAATATTTTTTTTCTTATTATACTTCAATTATAGTTGAATATCGATAGAAATATCATCTTCAGCTAATTATGGTATAATATGAAATACTTAAATATCTATTCATATTTTCATACGTCAATGATACGAGCCATGTATTGTTTAATGAGAAAATAACAAAAAAAAGATGTGACTGATGTATTGAGAAGATATTCTATTCTTTCTGGTTATTAATACAAGAACACAAACACTGCCCTTTCTTTATTTGTCTGTATTACTCGAGTATATTTTTTCTTATTTATTGTTGCTCTTTTGTTCGTGTAGTTTATCCTTTGAATATAATTGCAAAGATATAAAGTATATGACAAGATAAAATAATGATCGATGAACGATATTCTTTCGTTTATATCTTGCTTTCATTATTCACCTATTCTATTGGATTTTATTTCTTTACTGTTCTTTTATACTATTACTCCTTTGTGTCTTTGATTTATATTCGTTGTCAATGGACAATAATGAAACCAAATATTCTTCAATGTGCAATAAAGAGATATGTTGACCGAGGTGATACTTAAAAATATATTTATATATGAAAAAGTTCAAATTAAATGCATTACATTTGAAAGTTAAAAGTCAATTCTTACGATTATATAGTAATTCAAATATACTTTTTTTTGTTATATTACATATGAGATTGGTAGGATAGATACGTTTGAATATCGAAATTTATAATGATCTTATATATAAAACCGATTTTAATAGGATTATAAAGATATTTGATTCTATGTTCACCATATAATATAATCGAAACAACTTTCAACTCGAAAAATTTATAAGATCTAGCAAAAAAATCATAACTTAAGTATCTTAATTGAAAAACTATACGATATACTCTTTAATCAAATTAAGTATTACTTTTACATAGATTGTTTTCATATTAACTGATGCTATAAATTGATTTTGAATGAAATAGCATAGACGTTTCATAGGCCAAAAACAAATATTTTTTTTCTCCAATAAAACTACATACATGTATTTCTAAATAAACAATTATATATTGTGTGCTATTTATTTTATCATCCAAAAAAAACACAGTATAAACTGGACAGTAGTATCGGTTAATACTGGAATGATATAGCTATTTAAATTGACGTAAAGAACACAATTCAATTTATCTTAAATACTTTTCTATCAATATTCTTAATCCATATTCATTCTATACTCTTTTTTCTCAAATACACCTTTTTGTACTGTGACAGATTCCATCCATCACTACCTCTTACATATACTTGATCGAACATGACCACTATGCATACATATATACATAGATCACTTCCTATTATTTAGCTTCTTTTTTTTTTTACTCTTACTTTCTGTTTCGGCCGATTGACCTCGTTGATGATGTATATAAATATATATAGTTGTTCATTGTTCATTGTTCATTCATTCGGGTATATAGAGTATGAACGATCACTCGTTCCGTTACACGTACATCTACATGTGCTTTTCTTTTTATGTGATTAAGTGCAGATATGTCGTCCTCATACTCTTTAATCGTATACTAATATTACTCGTACAAGTTGTGGTTAGTTTAAGTAGGTCAAATATAAAAAAATATTTATTCTTTTCATTGTTCTATACACTCTTTCATTCATCCAAATAATACAGTAAGATATTATCTGTTTCAGGCATCTATCATTATTTTTTAAATTATTATTACTGCATATTTCTGCAATTATTTTATCATTCATATTAGTTTGCTAAAGTATCACAACCAGATACTCATCTTAAATAACCTTATACAATAAACTATGTACCAAAACTTTATCTTGAGTAAAACCTCGACTTCATCTATTTTCTCCTAATGGTAAAACAAACATTGTCACATCAAACAAATATTCAGCAATATTCTGGTTTTCTATGTTGCACATTGATAAATGCAAGCAATATATAACAACAACTCAAGATACTCTTTTACTTGTTATTTATCTAATTGCCTCAATGATCTCTAGTTTATTCAAATTGATATAACTGTGAACAGTTCAATGCCCGTTGTTATGACTCAAAAACAAGATGCTATACAGTATATCAAGTTAACGTTTTATTTCTGTTGGTCTAAGATCAAAATAGTCTAAAAACTGCAGCAATCGTATATGCACTACAAACGATGAATGTTGTGTAACGTATCGTACTATTCTTTATTTATTATCTCCTCTACGTATTTAGTATCTTCTACTTCATACAGTATCACAATATTCTAAAGACTAAAGTCATGGTAATTATAATGAATATAAACAGTACCCATGTAAAAAAAGCTGTGAAAATCATGATTTTTATGAGAAATCTGATGAAAAATCGATTTAAATGGCACGATTTTCATAGCTTGGTAATCGATTAAATTGTTGTATAAAATCAATTAAAATCAATTATTATATTACGAAAAATTAAATATCGTAGGATTTTAATCGATTTTAGTTAATTTTTTCAATTTAACCGATTACCTAGCTATGAAAATCGTGCCATTTAAATCGATTTCTCATCGGATTTCCTATAAAAATCATGATTTTTACAACTTTTTTACATGGGTATTATAAAACAAATGAAAATATTATTTTGATTGATATATATTACATGTATTCAGCATATTTTTTGTTGATTCAAAGTCACCATCTCCTAAAAGATACAGCAATATTTATTATGGTGAAGATCAATTCTTTTATGAATAAATACACATATTCTTTCAATTGCGTCTATTGAATGTATTTCGTATGTACTTCCTGATTCATGATCAATATATTATAAAGCATATGGCAATGATATTTAATATTTTCTCTACTATTCTTATTGTGTGTATTACTATTTGTTTAAGGAACAGTTAATAAAAGAATCCAACAATGAGTGTTATGGAAAAAAGACATCGTATTATGAAATGGATGTGGATATTTTATTGTACTATTATTATTCTTGATTTTATCAATTGAACATATTAATATTCATGAAAAGTCAACTTAATCTAAGGAATTCAACAACGTTTATGACGACGAAAACAGTTGATACAATAAAGTGGATTAAGGTATTTTTTATTTGTCCCTTATTTTGTTTCTTGATTACATGTATTATTATTCATTGAAGGTTATTTTAATCTAACGAAACCAGTAATGGGTATTATTGTAAAAATGGACGTTATTGCAAACTGAATCTGGGTATTTCTCTTTATTTTTTTATCGCATATATTATTATTTATTGAAGGTTAGATTGATCTAACGAATCCGACAATGACTATTATGAATTAACTCTTTCCGGCCAAATGTTACCAAATGGCAACATTTTGCTGTACGGGAATACGGTATTTTTCAAATAGCCGACGAGAAATGGTTAATTAACGAACTTTACAAATCATCATATTAATCTCAGTTTTTATATAGACAAGTCTAGAAATAGGTAATTATTTATATTATAATGAATGCTGTACTAACGAAAAAAATTCGGTCACAACAAAATGAATCAGTCAGTAGTTATTGGAGAAATAGGTATTTATTGCATCAGATAGCATAAAAGACTTACTCATATTACTTTGATTTTGCGTATAAAAAATTTTCAATTTTAACAAAGAATTTTAGGTTTTTACAAGAACGTAACACTAGAATGAAATATTTTTGACTTAAACAATGTTCTCAAAAAGGTTATTCTTCCTCTTAATTTTTAATGTCGAGCTAAAATCTTTTATGAAATAAATATTGTAAATTTAAAGTGCACTCTCAATACCTTTCATGAAGTTGTTTTCACAAATATGTGATTCGCTTTTTCTGTAATTCATAATGGTGTGTAAAGCACTGTTTAGATAATCTTCACAGTAATCATATATTAGTTAAATCATACTTAGCTTTTACTATTAATTAGAATTTGAATTTAATTCGACATACTCTAATCCTTGGAAATTAATTAAAATCTATAACAATAATTGACATTATTTGAAATTAATATTTAATTCTTCACCGTTTTCTCTCTATTTATAGTTCCTGTTGTTACTATTGTGGTTGAAGGTGGCAAAGATACCATAACAAATATATATTATGATTTACGTGATAATATCCCTGTTCTTATTATTGATGTAAGTAAAATAAACAAAAATCTTTTGTACAATTGTAATATAATCTAAATAGGGCAGTGGCCGTGTTGCTGGCTTTCTCAAACGTTGATTGTTATATACAAAAAAATTCGATGTAGCTACTAAATATCCTCAATATCCATATGAAATTGGTGAAATTAATAAAGCACCTTCAGTTACAGCTTTTTCACGGACAAGTGACAATACAAATAGTTCAAAAATAGGGTAAAAAATTAATATTAAATTAATTGTTTTGTATTTTAATTACATAATCTTTTTAGTATCCATACATATTTTGAAGTTCAACTAGATGCATCTCGCAATACGTAAATAAATAAATAAACGTTTAATTCATTCTCTAGAACTATTTTATATAATTTTTATTTAAAGGCTTAAAGGAATATTTGAAAAATATGATGAACGACTTAGAAAAGATCTTGATCTTCTCATATCACATGATGATGATCTTAGTAAAGGAAAGAAGTCAAATGATATATCAAACCATACTCCAAAAGATGCAAAATCAAATAAATTCGGTGAAATACTTCGACAAGTTATGTATTGTCTTCAACCTGCTGTTCGTTCTGGTATAGCTGTATTCAATCTAAATTCAGATGATAATTTATCAGAAACAATTTTTCGTACTGTTTGTAAATGTAAGTTAATTATATGATACAAGATTTTCTTTTTAATAATTCGATTTGTGTTAGCACATCAAAAATATTTAGAAAGAAAAGAAAATAATCAATATGATCTGAGCGAACAGCATGAACGAAACTCTAAACCGCCAACAACTGTAGATACTAAACGTCATCATGCAGATTCACAAAGATCACAATTATTACAATTAGCAATGGATTGGAATTGTGCTGATGTTGCAAAAGAATTAATTCTTCAAAATTCATTAGATAATATTCTAGTAAGAATGATTGATTTTTAAAGGATATATAGATAAAATCATATGTTAGCAACATAATTTCTCAAAATTGAAACATATATATATTAAGATATTAACTTTTCTAGGATTAATTCTTCTACTTTATATGTATGTTAAATTATTTTGGATATTCTAGAGAAACTGATAATAGTGACATGACTTTAAGAAAAACCTTGAACTTATTTTATTACCCAAATAGTTAAATTGTACGCATAAGATCGTTTGTATTCCTATTCTCCATCATTTTCTTAATTTTTCTTTTGTTTGAATAATATTGTATCCATGTTGTTCTTTCTTTTGTTTAGAACAAAGAAGAAGTCTTTTTGATTGCTTTAAAACGGGATTTACCAGAATTTGTGTATATATTTTTTAAATTGGCTATTGATCCAAGTAACATATTCTTTGAGAATAATATATTCATTGATGATGATACATCCCTTCGCCCAATTTATCGATATAGAAAATTTCTCCAACGATTGTACAGCAATGAAGCTGTGGTAATATATATTTACAAATTAAAAAAAATATCAATGTGTTATCTATTTATAGAATAGTGATAAAACTCAATTAAATGCATTTATTGAATCGAACGATGTTGTTGGAAAACATATTCGTACAACTGAAGAGCTAAACGATGTTCTTACTACATTGATTGGTGATTATATGAATAAATTATACTTTAATTCATATGATAATGGGGTTTAGTATCGATCATCATGGGGTTTAATGGTACAAATTCAAACAAATCCTCGAAACTTTGACCAACACGATAAAGCAAATAAAGAAATAGTTTTTGATTATATAATGCGAGATTTATTTATATGGGCAATACTTATGAATCATACTGAAATGGCTCAAGTCTTTTTAAGTCATATGAAATATCGAATATGTGCTGCATTGATTGCAACAAAAATTTTAAAAGAATATTTTCATGGAACTGCATATGCTGATTTAAAAGATACTTATGAGAAAAATGCAAAATATTTTGAAGAATATGCTATTGCATGTATCAAAAAATGTGAAAAAAAATAATACTGATCAAGCAGGTCAAATAGTTTTACAACGAATAGAACTTTATGGAAATGTCACTTGTCTTCAAGTATATTAAATAATTTTATTTTTCTTTAAAAAAAAACTTATTTTTCTTGAAATTTATATATTTAAGGTTGCTGCTGATGCACAAGATAAATTATTTATTGCAACACCATGTTGTGCTCAAGCTATTAATAATATATGGTGTCATAATATTCATCCCAAACAATCAAATAAACGCAAAGAAATAGCTATGGCTATTGCAATTTTTTCACTTGGTCTTCTGGCACCACCTTTTGTCAAGTATTAAAATCCTCCAACGGTTAGTTATTATTATTTCAATCTTTACATTAATAGATAGATATAAAATGAAATTTCAGCGACAATTTGAGTATATAGTAAATAGTCTTTTTTAAGAATTGACTGAAAGTATAATTATTGAGACATAGAAATATTGAAAATGACGATCTATATTAGTTCAAACCAATTTCATTTATATTTCTAGTTATTCGGAATTTCTAATTAAAATATTGCATTATTAACATAACATTATTTTTATTGAGATGAGGAGTAGAATCAGAAATCATTCTACACAATTATATCTTTCTTCTAAAATAGATTTACATTTTATATTTTATACAGTAACTGAATTGAGATCATATGTATACAGTCTCTAGTCTCTTTTATTATTTTATAAATTGAAATTTTTAAAAACAATGTTGTTTTTATATAAGTACTCATAGCAGATATTTATTCTAATATTAGCAGGAGGATACGCACAAATCAATTTCATATCACATATCGAATAGCAAAATGCCACTCTTTAGTTATTGAGTGTGCGAAAGATTTAAGATCAGAAAAAAAAGAATTTAAGAACGTATTTACAACAAAATCTTGCACGAATAAAAAGGAAATCTACTAGTCCTAAGCAAAAACAAAAATTTATCGCCGATTATCATCAGTAATACTAACACAATTTTCAACAAAAACGCAAGCTTCTGCTCTGGATAAATATTGATAATGTTTTTGATTTAAATTCTAAGAAATATAAACGAATAGAAAATATTATCACGATCTATTAATTAACAAGATTTTATTTTTATTTTAATTAGATATTAAACGACGAAGACCCTGAACGATCTTATGTATCCTAACTAAAAATTCAGGGTAAAAATATTATACTATATTTAGTTTACAACCCTATGGTATACATTATTCAGATCCATATTCAATTGCATCTCGTCGATATACTAAATATCCTCCAATAAATAGTTACATACAGAAATTCAAAAATTTTCATCAAGCTCCACACACGAAATATTGTTACCATTGTGTATGTATATATATATTATCACTTGAAATAAAATCTATAAAATTTCTTTTTAGTTAAATTATTGTTTTTTTCTATTACTTTTTTCATATGTACTTTTATTTAATTTTCAACCACCAACTGCTTCAATAACATCTATTCATTAAACTGAAATTTTTAACAATCATACTTGTTTCAATTATGTTAGTTGAGACAATTCACTATGTAAGAAAATCAAATCTATAGAAAAAAATATTTACAATTTTCTTTTTTTATTATTATAGTTTTTTAGCCTAGATAGTATAACATTATCTGGAAGTTTAAAAGTTATTTTACGGATTTATTTAAAATTGTGGCTCTTATTGGATTTGTACTTTTTTATATTGGATTAATTCTACGATTTACTCATGCAGATGATGAGAATGACTTTCTCACAACTAGGTAAGATATCTTTCTAATGAATATAATATTACTAGAGGCCCCTGTGAAGAGTGAGGATTTCATATTATAAGAAAAACTGATTCAATAAAAAGCGAGTAGTGTCAAACTTGAAAGTTGAATTCAATTGTTCATTTCAAGTACTAAACTATTTTTTTTCTGTATCTCTCTTCCCTTCATCGCCACTGATGGTCTACGTGCCCAGTCACTCCTGTCCCCCTTACTCATAATCTCCCTGTGTTCTATGCTCACCCATGCTTCCTGTAGCTTGTGCCCTACGCTTACCCATGCTCCCTGTGCTCTATGCTTACTGTGCTCTACGCTCACCCATACCCCCTGTTTACTGTCCCCTCCCTGTCACCTTCTTGCAGGTGGATAGTTGAATGCTTAAGTTTAAGTGTGAGGTGTGGCATACATGTAAAAAGTATGGATAAGAAAAAAAGTTTTCGAAGAAAACTTGTAAATTTTAATATAAATTTTTAATTTTATTATGTCTTATTCTTTCCTTATGTTTTATTTTATTTTTTATTGTATCTTATTCGTTTATTTTATTTTAATGAATGCGCAGATAATAATAATAGCATAGTATAGCAGGACAATGTAGACAGATGCTCATCGCCGGCTAGTCATATATGTATATATGTATATATATGTATATATTTTTCTTTCCGTTCTGTCTGACCAATCAGATAAAAGTTCCTGAACTGAAACTTTGTATATTATAATATAGATGTATCAAAATAAAATATAGAAGAAAATGTTTTGTCGTAAATGGATTGTTTTTTTTTTGAGAGCATGAAGATAGTAGAATATTTATGCTGTACTACTGTTGAAAGGGATAAATTACAGAAAAGAATTTATATATATTGATCGTTATGTTGTTTTATATGATCTTTTATCTTTTTGACTATTACATAATATTTGTTATTATTTAGAGTATATAATGTTTACTTTGCGTTCCCTGATGACACACAATAATAAGTTTAGTATTTTTTGATGAGAATATTAAATCAGAATCATTGCAATCGAAACTTCAGAGATAAGGAGATGAGAAAGCACTCAATGATCTTCATAAACTCTTCTTTTCTATTTTCTATAATAGAATTGAACAGAAAAAGTAGTCTTATGTTTATCTCCAGCTAATATTTTTTGATTCATTAAACAAAATAAATCACTTGTCTTCTGATTCTTTTTAGTTTGTCTGTGAACGAAGGAAACAGTTAACCATTTTCAAACTCACAGCAAGTCTGTCAAAGGTAACAAAATAGAAATAGATGAATACTAATACTGATATTACATTCGACTTACTCTAAACTTATGAGTTTCTCTTTTAACAATTTATCTGTATGAAAAATAAACTTCATTCGTTAAATGATGCGTGTTATAGTCCAAATTTTATATTTCTATGCTTATGTATATCAAACTTTAAAAGGAATAAGTTTTTGTATCTAGTTTTTACAAAAAATCTTAGTTGTATATGATTTTCTAATATAAACTCTTATTAAGATTTATGAAACTGCAGTACTAAGGTTTTTCGTGAAAATTCTATAGTAATCTTCTTGATTTGAAGTTTGAATTTTTAAAGCAACTTAACATTTTATAAAAGATAGACTTAGTTCATTGGAAATGCACTTTAAAACAGAATAATTGACTGTTCAAGTATAGAGAAAGCATAATGAAAATTATTTTCATATTAATTATTAAATTGTTTTTTTCGATACAGAAAAATAAAATTTCTTTATTAGCATAGAAACTGGAAATGATAAGGTGTTTTTGTATTCAATTTGAGATTGTAAGAATATGAATCAACAAATGAATAGTTAAAAGTTCATTTATCTTTATCTTAGAGTAGGATAAGAAAAATCCTGCTGTCAGACTTTTTCACCATTTTATAACCAGTGTATGTACAATAATTTACAGTAACTTGTTATTTCGAAGACATCCTTCATAAATTCTATTAATAGGAAATAGTATCAGTATCACTCTACATTTACTTATGATGATAGGCTATTTGTTGTATAAATATTTTTTTGTAAAAATCTATAATAGCTAATCAACTCACTAACAATATTAAATTAATATTTATTTTTATTATTTAATATAATATCATGGCTCATAGGCGGCGGAACGATTTCATTCTAGGGTAGGCTCAGTTTTTCAAACGAATCATTCAGGGTAGTACATTCGGGGGTGCAGAATATGCTCCTGTGCGCGAACGCGCGTTCGAAGAAATTTTTGAAAAAGTATTGACTTTGAAATTTTTTCTATGAGAAAATAATAAAGAAACTTTTTAGATGAAAATATTATTTTATACGTACATGATCTGATATGTTCATTAGGATACAATATTTAAAACATATCGTTGTCTCTTCTCTCTTTTCATTTATTTAACTAAAATATTTAAAAAGACCTTTGGTTTACTTCAATACTGAGAGAAATTTCTGATTGATTTTTCTGCGTTTGAGGAAATTTTTCATTTTCACTAAAGATTCTGCAGTCCTGAGAAAATTAGACGATGATCTCTTTAACTGTTAATCATTTAGTTTTTCTTGCTGACTTTAGTTATTGTTGGAATTTAATAACTACATGATGATTTATTCTTTCGAACGAAAACATGAACTGAAAGTGTAACATAGAAATACTGCTTGAAAATAGTCAAAAAATAGATGAAGAAAAAATTCAACTATTCGCGCTCAAAAAAGGTCCTTCAGCTCTGTTTTTTTAAGATAAAATCAGAACGGATGTATTTCAAATCAAGTACATCTAATTTTTCTTAATGTATACTGAGAACTATTATTAGTCTTTGTTTTTTACTTTGAAAAGACATAATCTGACTTTGTTTAGCCAGCATTCCTATTTAAAAAACTTTGACGAGAAAATCAACTAAAAAATGTTTATAAATCTGTAATAATCATACTCTTTTAATCGATTTTTAATCAAAAATAATCGAAAAGATCAAAATTTTCTTGATTATTACAATGAACTGGAATTAAAATCGATTAGAAGTTCGAGCAAAAAATTGATTTTGATTGACATTTGCCCGAGACAAAATGAACAAATTGAAATCCGTTTTTATCAATTATAATAAATTTTTTCGTGAACTTTTAATTGATTACAATCGCAATGCATCGTAATAATCAAGGAAATTTTTGTTTTTCGGTTATTTCTGATTAAAATCCATTAAAAGCGTGTGATCATAACCGATTTTTAATCTTTCTTTAATGAAGTTTAATCTGATTTTTATCCTATCTTTTTATATGGGTTGTATGCGAAACGAATAATGATATATGAGCATTTAAAATTCAAAACTTATTTTAAACAGAAGTTCAAAACAAACATTAAACTCTGGAGTTTAAAAAACAAACAATTCGATGTAGATACAGGCGTCACACCAGCAAAATCCCATAAAAACACATCAGTGGACACAAGTTGACAGTATAGAAAGTGTGCACTAATCTTTTAACAATAAGACATCTATCAGAGCATGAAAATTAAACTATAATAAATTTTTTTTTCATGAAATCGAGCCTACCCAGGCCTTTCGTAGGACATATTTTGAGCCTACCCAAGCCTACCCGTTCGCAGTCTAGGGTAGGCTCCAGCCTACCCAGGCCTACTGCGCTCCGCCGCCACTGTTATGGCTACTCAATCAACTCTCTTGTTACATTTTGGAGTATTGTTAGAAGATTGTATGTTGGTTTATTGTACTCTTGGTAAGAATATCACTCTTATATGATGTGATCACTGTTCTTATTTCATACTTTGATTTATCTATTTAGTTTTTCCTATCTTCTTTTTAATTTTGTAGATTTTATTAAGCTTCTTATTTTATACTATTTATTTATCGATATTTATTGATTTATTACTTTATCATACAATGCTTTCACGTAAGCGACTAGCAACAGGAACAAATGCACACAAAGAACCAAAACTCACGATTTCAGGGCGAACAGAAGCTGTTGCTTCATTTGTTCAACAACGAATATGGCTTCATGAACAACTTTATTTTCACTCTTCCGATCTGTCTGTTTACAATATTCTGGCACCATTGATAATCAAACAAGGTTCATTATCGATCGAACGTGTTCATTCAATTTTACTCACATTAATTGAACAACATAGTGTTCTTCGTACTGCTGTTCGTTTTAATTCACAAAGTAATCAAATCGAACAATACATTCAGGCTGCTACCGATGAAATTTATTCATTTCAGCATTCACGTGGTATTTGCACATCGGAACAACTCGATCGACTACTTACAAATGAATCGACAGGAAAACACTTTGATATTGAATCAGGGAGGGTGGTTAGATGCCATATAGTACAACGAAGTAATGATGAGCATGATCATCGATTATCTGAAGGTGATCTTGTGGCTATTACATTTCATCACATATCATTCGATAATAGTTCACTTAAACCATTTATCGAAGCATTTAGAAAAGCTTGTTTGACTGATCATCATCAACAACCAGTATCATCTAGTCCACAATATATCGACTTCACATTATACGAACAGTCAATGCTAGCCGATACAAGAATGGACTCAAAAATGAATAAGGCACGTCAGTTTTGGTCCAGTCTTATGGATGGTTATGATTGGAGTCAAATACGACAATTAGTGCCTGGCGAAGCAAATACCAAACAGATACGTTCAGGTCGTGGGTTTTCAACTACATTTTCTATCAGTCAACATATTGTTGATGTGATGATGTTATGTGCTTCCTCAAATAATTCCAGTATGTTTGAGCTATCACTTGCTTGTTATTATGCATTCTTATTCAAGTTAATCAACGATGACGACTTATGCGTAGCAGGTAACATAGCTAATCGATTTGTGCAAGACACAAAAGACATGATTGGCATGTTCGTCAATCTTGCGCCGTATCGAATGAAAATTGAGCCGAATAAGCCATTCGACCATCTAGTGCGAAAGGTACAACAGCTCAGTAGTAATATTCTTGAGTATGGTTGTTTACCTTACCAGCATATTATTAAGTCATATGATCAACAAGGGCATCAAGTATTACCTTCAACATTATTTCATTATGAATCGTTGATGTCATCTATAACGCAGAATAACAAATTGGAGATAACTACAGACGAAGGTACTGTTCTTGGCATCTACTTTGATCGAGATCGATCTCATGGTAATGGAACAGCATTGTTTGATTTATCTCTTGCAATAGCTCATGATCATCACTCCCGAAGCACGGAGTGTTTTCTCGATTGTTCGGCCGATATATTCCAAAATCAAGCTGATGTTGATCTACTTGCAAATCGTTTTCGACATATGCTCACACAACTCTTCTGTTCCTCAATGACTGATGAGCCAGTACATAATCAATTTAATATACCTACCAGCAAATTGTCACTTATTTTACCAGAAGAGATTGAAGAAATGCAACGAGTAACCTTTCGAAGATTACCAACTATTATAAATGAAGGTATGCTTATCTATTTTTTCGTATTTTTGAGTAGATAGAGCGATGAACTTTCTGTAGATGTGTTAATATATGAGAGTTCTTTTTTAATGGAATTTTTGACAATAATATTGCAAAGAATCTAACCTATTAGGAACTGAATACAAAGAATGAATCAAGTAGAAATAGTCAAATAATAGAATAAGTTCTATATTAATTCATATTTTAAACATCGAACTTATAGAATAAATGTTAGAAGTTAGGATACTTTATTCTCAAAAAAAGAGCACCTAGATTTAAATTTAAATTTTTATAGAGATTACATTGAAATACTAAAATTAAATATTCTTCTATTTATCGAAACTAACCATATCAATCAGATATAAATTTAAATTACTTTACGAAGAAACAGATCAAAACAGTGATGCCTACCTGTTACTTCAATAAAAAACATGTTTTCGAGATATTTTTATATTTATTGACAATCAATTATCGATTAAGTTCCATGAGATTGAGTCATTGTGTGGCTCAAACTTGACGAAATTCATCGAGAGTGTGATTAAGACCAAGAGGAAAGAACTAGATATGATCTCTATAAATTAAAAATTTTAGAATACAAATGAGTACGTTACTGAATACCCGACCAATTATGAATTGGATAATTGCGTATAGAGAAAGTATTATAAAACTAATTAAGTTTTGTAAATTTTGACGAAAGCTTGTTAAAAATAGAGAGTCTGCATGTTTCCAATTTATTTCATTAATCATGAAACTGAAATATAGCCTTTTTTCACTGTTATATGGGTAAAACTGGGGACAGTATGAATTTTGCCATACACTGAAAACGTTAGTGAGAAAGATACTTACTAAATTTAGCTACAGTCTTCACCCTCAACTAATACTGCGTGTTCGCGTTAATGATGTGTGTAAGTCTATAGACTACTTTTAAGGAACATGAATGCTGCTAAAAGTCTACGATGAAATTTGTATTTTCCTTTGTAACTGATATATTCTTTTCAAAATAATTCTGCCTCGTAAAGACTAATACTGAAGTTTTACTGTTACAGCACCAGCATCATTTGCACAAGCTCGTATTTGGCTTGATGAACGAATTCGATTCGATCCAGAGAAGCCACAAGTAGCAATCTATAATATGCCATTTGTTCATCGCCTTCAATCAGGTCATACCTTATCCGTTAAACAACTTCATCAAGCTCTACAGTTCACTATTGACAAGCATCTCTCACTTCGTACATCACTTATCTTTGATACAGAATTGAATCAACTGATGCAACGAGTTATTACACGGAAAGATAACTACACTGATATGTTTTTAATCATCGAAACTACTTATGAAACAGATGAACAATTGAATGAGATATTACATGACGAGAAAGGTTATCCTCGTCTTTTTGATCTAGCTCAAGGTGTTGTCTTTCGATGTCATCTTGTTTACTACAAGCAAATCTCTTCAAATCATCTGCTTTCTCACAAAGATCTACTTATCTTCAACTTTCATCATGCTCTATTTGATTTTCCATCAATGAAAGTGTTTCATCATGATCTTAACCAAGCATATGCAACAGGTCAATTATTGTATGATGACAACACGAATCTTCGTTATCTCGATTGTAAATATAAATACTACTTCTATTTTTCTCTTTTCTAATACATTGCCTTCTTTGACTATATGATAGATGCTGCTATTGAACAACAAATGTCAATGACTGGTGCAAACATGTTTTGGCTTGATGCTCTTCATGATTGTAAACTTGATCAACCTTTGTCATTACCATATGATCGATATCGTCTTGCAAATGAACATCGAACTGGTCGTGGAACATCTATTTCTTTTGATTTTGGTCAAGATCTTTCACATGACTTTCTTCTGCATGCATCATCAAATAACATATCACTTGAATATCTTGCACTTACTACTTATTATGTGCTTTTATTCAAATTAACGAATAGTGAAAAAGACTTATGCATCGGAATAAATACACATGGTCGATATAGAGATGAATTTAGATCTATCATTGGAATGTTTGTGAATGCTATACCTTTGCGATGTCAACTCGATCGTCATTTATCATTTCATAAACTTACCAAGCACGTTCGAGATATTATGATAAAGTGCATTAAATATTCATATTTTCCTCTTCAACGAATTCTCAATCAATATCCTAATATATCAAATCCTGTATTTCTCGACACATCCTTTGAATTCATATCATCTATAAGAAGAGATGAGGAAGATGAAATAATGATCGGTGATAGTCGATTTTGTTTAATACCATATTCAATTAAGATTAGTGAAGATGAAATAATGAGTAAATTTGATTTTATTCTTAGTTTTCAACATGATCTGAATCTAAATGAAATCTCATGTACTATTAATGCTTCCGTTGATTTATTTAATGCTGAAACAATCCGTATAATTGCACAAAGATTACAAACAATGTTACATCAACAATTCACATCTTTTAATAGTAAAACAGACAAACCTATCTATGAATTATCATTAACATTATCAAATGAGCAATATCTAATGCAATCATTAAATAATACACAAGTATCATTTTCATCTCCTCTCACTTGTGTTCATCATGAATTTATATATCAAGCAATGAAATATCCACAAAAGCTAGCTGTTGAACTTGATGAACAGTCATTGACATATGCAGAACTTCTGTACTATTCTCAATGCATATCTCTCTATTTACTATACCATTATGATGTAAAATCTGGTGATATCGTGTGTCAATGTGTGGAGCGTAGTTTAGCAATGGTAAATATATTCGAAAGACATTTTGTTTTGCGATTATATAATATGTCGTGTATTTCGTTTAGGTTATTGGCATATTATCGATTGCTATGGTTGGCGGTGTCTATTGTCCGCTATCACCACAAGATCCTCCACAACGATTACAAACCCTTCTCAATCAAACACACAGTCGCCTAGTTATGATTCATTTCTTTACAAACTCTATATCTGAAATCAATGTTGTCAGAATGAATATTGACACAGCTATTACTGTGACTGATATTTACGTTGATATCAATCTACATAAACTTTCAAAAGTATCTGTAACACCAGAAAATATTGTCTTCACAATTTTCACTAGCGGTTCAACTGGCATTCCGAAAGCAGTTCGTATACTATCATTTTCTTCGTACATGTGTTCTAATGTATTTTTTTAATAGGTTCAGTTACGTCATCGAAATTTTACTGAGTTTATACATTCGTTTGTTCATGCCGGTGTATTGTCAAAATGTGACACTATAATACAAATGGCTCGATGTTCTTTTGATAATCATCTTCTAAGTCTTATTGGTACATTAATGACTGGCGGTACATTAGTAATGCTTCGACCAAATGGTAATATGGATTTAGAATATCTTGCTGAAGTACTTAATCAAAAGCAAGTTACTGTTATGCATTGTGTTCCATCTTTACTGAATAGCTTATTTACTTTTCTCAAAGAGAATAAACATAGATCAGCAGTGAAATGCTTACGATCCTTATGTAGCGGTGGTTAGTAATTGCTTTCAGAATTATTAAAATATTAACGCTTTTCTTTTGATAATTTCGTTTCAGGAGAAACTCTCAATATGAAAGTAGTTAGTCTATTGAAAAGTTTGATCACAAGTAAATGCCAAATTCGTAATCATTATGGTCCAGCAGAAATAACGATTAATTGTGCTTATCACTTAATTGATCTGGACAAAGAGCAGATGAACATTCCGATAGGTCGACCACTTCCCAATTATCGATGTTTAATTGTAGATAAGTTTTCACAAAATGTCTATGTTGGACATGAAGGAGAATTGCTCGTCGGAGGTGTTGGTGTCTTTGTTGGATATTTTGAACGTGATGACTTAGCAGCAAAAGTATTGATCAATATCAATGAACAAATTTTCTATAAAACAGGTGATCTTGTTCAAATGAATGATAGTGGATCGATTCATTATGTGGGACGAAAAGATCATCAAATTAAACTACATGGACAACGAATTGAACTTCGTGAAATTGAACAATGTTTACTTAACATCACATCCATATCCGCTTGTATTGTCATGAAATATAATGAAGATTATTTAGTTGCATATGTTCAAAGTTCTGATGTTAATGAACAAGAATTGCGTGAACATTGTCAATCTCACCTACCACCACATATGGTTCCATCAATATTCATTATACTAGAGAAATTACCTTTGAATCCAAACGGTAAAATAGATCGAAAACTTCTTCTGCCGCCAAATTTATCATCATTGAATATATCATCATCAAATGAGCCTAATGTTTCACAAAATGAATTAGAAGGATGCATACACGATACTTGGTGCCAAGTTCTTCGAAGTATTGAAAAGCAGATTTCAACAACTGCTAGCTTCTTTAGTATTGGTGGTCATTCACTTTTATTTATTGAAATCTATCATCGCTATCAATCATTGTTTGATTTTGATACTCGTGAACTCACTATTGGTCTATTTCTACAACAACCAACTATTGTTCAACATTCACAATTACTTCAACCTGCCACAATTAATCATACAAAGTCAACAAAATGGTATGCGTTACATATTAATCAAGGTAAGAATTTCTAACATCCTTTTTGAAAGAAACTAAAATTATTTATTATAAATTTTTTAGGTATTGCATCTTTTGCTCAAGAACGTATTTTTCTTGATGAACAAGTACGTTTCTCTCGGAAAATTGCTATTTATAATGAACTGAGTATCTTACAAGTTATTCAAGGATCTATATTAGTGCATCGTCTATTACAAGCTCTTCGATATGTTTTGAATAAACATAAAATATTACAGACTTCTCTCAATTTCAATAGTGATGACAGCACTCTACAACAGCAGATTACTGACATGCATCAAAAATTCACATTGGCTACCGATCAAACATTTCACAATGAAAATGATCTTCAAAACATTATTCATCAAATAACCATCAATCCTACTCTCTTCGATTTATCAATTGGTCGTGTTTTTCACTGTCAAATACTGCGACAACAGATAATGTCTAATGAAACTAATAAAAATGAACATATTACAAATTCTGATATTCTTATATTAGCATTTCATCATGTAGCAACTGATCGATCGTCTCGTCAATTTCTTTTTAATGATCTATGCTATGCTTATAACAATAATACAAAATGGGCAGAAGACGAAGTATCATTGCAATATATTGATTATGCTGTGCATGAACGTTTAATCGACATGATGTTGTCACGTGAATTTTGGCGCTTGCAATTCGAAGGATGTAATTTCGAACATCGATTGTCATTACCAATTGATCAACAGTGTTTATCTAATGAGCAACGATCTGGTTTCGCTTCTACTGTTCACATCACTTTCGACAGAGAAATATCATCATCATTTCTTAATTATGCTTCTTTGCATCATGTGACACCATTTCAGCTCGGACTGGCTACATTCTATACATTTTTATTCAAGTTAATATATAGTCAAACTGATTTATGTATTTCATGCGTTAATGCTAATCGATACAGACCTGAACTACAGAACATGATGGGAATGTTTGTTTCGACATTACCATATCGTGCTCAACTTGACCCACGATGGTCATTTGATGATCTTGTTAAATATGTGCAAGAAAAATGTTTATTAATTCTTGAACATTCTCATTATCCACTTCAACATATTCTTCGTGATTTTCATCTTGATCAATCAACTGCTCCTTTTCTTCAAACAGCTTTTGATTTCATTACTGAATCTTCAGTTAACGATCAATTTACTTTCGGTGATGTTAGTTTACAATCAGTATCATTAAAACAGTCTTCGGAAGTGGCTAAATTTGATTTTACGTTAAGATTTATTTACAATCCAATGTCGGATGACAACATGTTGTCATGTCGTTTTATTTGTTCACGTGATCTATTTGAAGACACGACAGTCACAAAAATGATACAAAGATTTAAATATCTTTTCGAACAACTTTTTTCAATGAATTTCAACGTTAATCAGACTGATTTAGTAACTGCACCTATTGCCAAACTTACTCTTATCTTACCAGATGAAATGAATGAAATACAACACGTAGCTTTTTACCGTCAATCAAATGTGACGAATGAAGGTATGTCTTTTTCCTATTTATTATATATATATGATTATTTTTATTGATACCGATCAGTTAGATAAGAGAGACATGAGTGTTATTTAAAAATATTATATTTTCGAAGTTAAAAGTGTTGATTGACTTGTGTTCGTTCAAGGGTCATTACGTTAGTCTGTTTTCCAATACAGAGTAAAAATATATAATCTGAAAAGCACTTATTAACCTTCAATGTCAAATCCTTTCAAACTTTTTTGCAGATAGAATATTATATATAGTATAGATATATGAAGTCTAGTGGTAATGATAAGGATAATAATTGTGATTAAAAAGCTGATAAGTTTCTGGCATGATTGTTTTCAACTAGAACGCTAAAAATAATATGACAACTGAGTAAAACATAGTTTAGTTTCTAAAGTTTTAGGTAGTTTTTTTTGAAATATTTATTTGATATAATAAAATTCAGATTTAATTCAGAAGATAATGAGTTATATCAATATCAATAACAATTTCGTTATCTTATAATAATCTAATTATAGCATCATCATCATTAACACTGTTACTTGATAGTTTTTTTCTTATGGTCAATTCTGTTTCTTTAAATACCAATTAAAGCAACAACATATTTTGGTGACGATAACTTCTCTTTTTAAATTAGGGTTAGACACTGTTCAAGTGCAAATCGCTTCTTTATACTACAGTTTGACGCTTTTCAGGCGAATCTATATTTAACATTTTAAATAAAACTAATTATTTTTTAGTAAATTTTTTTAAATATATGATAATGAATATAAGACTATGATCAATAGGAAACTATTCGATGTTTCGATGACTTAAGTGTCATACATAAGAAAGTAAGAGCCAACATCTGTAACACAACATTAACATTTAATTGATTCTCTTTCTTTCACTTTATTTATTAATAGGAAAATGAATTAAAAGTAGATTTTACTTAAAATTATTATCAGTCTTAAAATTAATTTTGTAATTATATTTTGGAAAATTAACTACCTTAAACTACGGTACGTTTTTCAGACAATTTTTATTTGAAAAAGTGTATATATGAAGAAAGTATAGGTGACGTAATTAATTATTAAGACATTATAAAAAGTATTAAGGAAATCAGTTGGTAAAAAGTGTATACTAATTTCTAAACCAATCGTATTCCAAATATTACTTTTTTTAATAGTCAACTTTACTACTTGAAATTCTCTGTAAAATGTGCCGTAAATATTTTATTCTAGAATACAAAAGTGAAATATTGCATAAAAATTCGTGAAAATCTCAGTTTTCAAAAACAAATCTTTTCTTTTGTACTTTGATTGTTTGAGACAAAAAATTAAATTTATCATTTTATGATGCTTGAGAAACTGTAGCCTTCAGTCATATTTACGATCATTCTGTAGTCGAACATACATACGTTTCTAGTTAGTATTTTTACAATAGAGCATCGTTGGAACATGAAAAGTAAAA